CATAAACTTATTTGAAATTTAATTACCTTACTTATCTGAGGTTAATTGTAGTTTAATTCGAATGAAGCCAACAACAACAGTTTCATGGTGTTCGGTGTTTGCGGCTGTAAATATGCTCATCGCTGATGCCTAAAGGTAAAGGAAGTTGTTGTAAAATATTACAACACAAAATAATAATTAGAATTTGCCAATTAAACTTTAAATTTTTATTTTCGAAATTAAAACAGTTATGCGTACCTGTTGTAGTGCTATGCTCTTTCTTAAGTGAACCCATGACACTCTGTAAAAGCGATGTCTTTTTTTTTGGTTGATGAATAAATTCTGATCTTTTCTGATGACCGCTATTATAAAAAACTATAAAAAAAATACCGAATTACGAAATTTAAACTTTTAATTTGTGAAGACTCGAAAAAACTACCAAAGTTAAGAATAAAATTTAACAGAGATGACGATAATACGAGGGAATCTGATAAATACTAATCCTCACCGCCCAATTGCGTCAATTCAACGTAGTACGCATTTTTACGCGCAGTATCCTTCAGTGACTCTAGTCCTTAGTTCATGCCCAGGCGCCCTGAGATCGCGATGAGCGTGGAGGATAACATGACAAAATTACACGACCTCGTATTGAGACAGATCTGATTAAAGGTGGGCGATAGATATTTTTTCCAAAAATGATCGCTTTTTTGTAGCCTAAGATCCTAACGAATCACACTCGTGCGCATCCTTTCTTAGGCGTTCCTCTGAAAAATCATAAAAATAAAAAGTACTCTTTTTCCCATTAGTTCTCATTATTAGTCAATTTGTGTCTAGTGTAAAGAGACGTTCGTGGTGGTTTTGACTTTATCTCACCAAGTACTTACTTGGCACTCACTTTAAAGGCCTGAATTTGATTTAAAAAAATATTAACAGCATCCAATCTGAAGCGGCACAAAGCATTCAGTGAAGGTCGTAAAAACTTACTTTACGTGAGAGAATCTCAACATTTTTTATGGATCGACTTAAGACATTATGTATGATGTTTTGATTTTGAAATATATCAATGCTAAACTCGTATCTAAAGGTGACGCTAAAAGCTGAATCCTTTGCAAAAACATCGTCGAGTAGAGCGGAAACGAGATGCTTGACAACGTAGCTAAGGACCTTACCTTCAAAACGCATCGTTACTGGTGACCAAAAAAATAAGACGAAAGCGAAAAAAACAAAATTCCTCAATAAAGGCCATGCCAGCCAAAGCTTATAACTTATGGAACATTCGGTTAAGCATTTTGTTACTTGTATTGACTGAGGAGCGCTAATAAAGATTTGTGTTAAAATACGTGAAATGCAATCAGTCGGGTTCAAATTTTATTAGATGGTAAACGTCGTCCAAGCCTCTAACTTCAATTCCTGAACGCCTAAATAGCTTATCACACCTCGGTCTTTCATAGTTGACCAAAATGGTGTTTACTTAAACATTTCTAACAATATGGCGCTGTGATCGTCCAGATTTTTGGGCTTCCCAATGACTTGGTGAAGTTATTTTAACTTAAAGGTGCCTCTCCGCAGATGTACCGACTTACTGCTAAAATTTCCTGTGTCAAAGTGCTATAACTATAAATGGTGCCTATGGTTAAAAACGCAACATGGATGACCCTCCGCAGTTACAAAGAAACATATATTTTAAAATTACATTTTTTATCGATTATATAATATTACCTTTTTGCTGTCATAAGTTTCCTTGTTATCCTACAAATTTAATTTAAAGTCACCTTCGAAAGACCAATGGATTTTATATACAATTTCCTAGATACCCGCATATACATATATACATACATTTAGTTATACCTATGTACAAGGAAATATGTAAACAGGTAATATTCAACCATAATTGCAAATGAGAAATCGATTGGTGTCCGCATTAACCCCGAAGCCACACTGATTAAAATAAATATTGTGTGTATGAATTATGCTCGAGACCCACCCTAAAGCTCACCACACCTACTCGGCCACACCACTTAGTGTTTACTAAATCAAAAAAGTTGCAGCAAAATAATAAGTACTTGCACGATTCATATTTCTAAGTAATTCCGTTTTATTTTATCACCTGCAAATCTCATATTTATGCCATTCCAGCGGAGTGGCGGCGGCGACGCATCTAATGGCGGGAATTTAGTGTCACATTAGCACCAGTGACGGGCGCCACCCAACGCCAAGCAGCCAAACAACCAAACAGCCAAATGGCCAGTCAGCCATACCGCTACATTAAAAATGGCCATTGGAGAAGTGTTCGTGAATACTGTTACATACACACGAATGTACATATGTGAGCTTATACGACAGTCCCGGCGTTTCGTTGGTGCGCTTGGCTGGGGCTATGCGCTGTTGTCGTCGTGCTGCCGCAAGCGATTAGTCAATAAGCTTGGCGTTAAGGGTGACGTGGGTATGGGGCACTGGTCCCGCCACGCCACACATTGGATGACAGCTGCGACGGAATTTAATTGCTCGTGCAAAACTATATATGTATATAGCATTTGTGAAAAAAACGCCGCAAATTGAAATGGCATTTTTTCTCAAGCGATTTGTTTGTTTTCGTGCACTTGAAGTGCACTTTTTGCTTACGCCTCAGCCGATATGATTATTTATTTTTTATTATGTATAGCACACCTTTTCATTTGCTCGCACTTTTTCATGCGGTTGGGGCTGACAACTGCCAATCGGCGTTGAGCAATGGATGTGTTGCTATTTTAGATTATTTGCTTAGATTCATTAACATCGATTTGTTGAAAGCTTATTTAACTGATATATTTAAATATATAAATATATAAAAATTTAATATCATCCATTTATTTTTATTTTCGATTTTCTAAGTAGTCTAATAATCATTGTATGAGCCATCATATAAATTTTTAGTACAATTTAAGTACTGTTAAAAGAAAACAAAACGTTTTCATGGTTTTTAAGAAGAATTTCAATCTTTATAAATAATAATCCAGCAATTAATCAATTATTTTGTACTTGTGTTAAAGATGCCCAAGGGAGTCCATACCAGGTCCCTGAGTTCAACATTTAAGTATTTCATAGCATAAATTCGGCTGCCAATTATTTACCTAGTAGAGTCCGCTTTGTGCTCATCGGTTATCTCAAGGCAACACTGGTAAGCGGAGCAGAATATATGAATTTAATGTTTCTTGGTAGGGTCTATTGTGGGTTTTTATATGAAGGAGATACTTTAATTATTGGTATAATTTTTTTTCAGAAAGTTAGACAAAAAAACCTGTTCGCATATTTTCACACAAATATTTATTATCAAAATAGGCTCCTTTTAAGCCAACACAAGGATTCTAAAGCTTAATCCAAGTTTTCATGCACTTATTTTAGACCTCGGATGGAATGGCCATCTGTGCCTTCAGTAAATGACATTTATTGGCTGCAGTCCCGGCTACTCATAGCGCATTCCCCGAAACGGTTTTTGCAGTTTCGAGGACGGTACAAAGTCACAGAGATTCAAATCATGCGAATACCGTGACTGGGCGATGACGCTTATTTTATATTTGGCCAAAAAGTCAGTCACAATCATCCTAAAATGTGACAGCTCATTATTGTTCATACATTTTTTGCCTCAAAACCGGTCGTTTACGACGAATTGATACACGAACGATGGAACGTTTAACCCTGTGGAACGAATTAATGGTGAACTACACCAAGGTTATCAAAGAAAACGATGCGCATCGCCTTGATTTTCGAAAGACTTTGAGTTGGTTTTCTCGGTTTCGGCTCCTTTTTATCTCTCTGATGCCAACACGACGATTCCAAAGCACTGTTTCTTTAATTTTTTCGATGTTATCGTCAATAACACAGGTTGATAGACTACTCGCAGGAGGCAAGACTTTCGATGACTTTGAGACATTCACTAAATGATCTTTATGATAAAATAGACTCTTTAAAATGCTTCTGTAACATTTTAAATGATTCCGTAGCCGTGATTTCATTAGAAAAACAAAATTTCAATCATATTTCTTAACAATCCACTTTGTAGCATACAACACCCCATAACAGTGCTTTTCTTGAGCTTTTAGTAGTCTTTGTTAAAGCTCCTACATTCTAAAACACTTTATTCGTAGTAGATAACTTTATTGCTTATCCCGCACATAGTTTAAATCTAATTATTATTGGAAATAATCTGTTTCAAAGGAACATTATTTTTACCGATTTTTCTACTACATTTAATGGTCTTACTTTAAACAAGGAAAAACGTCAACTTCTGTTGCTCCGATTATACTCTTCACAAATAAAAAAGTTTCCATAAAAGAACTTGATTTTGATCGGTCAGTTTGTATGGCAGCTACATACATGCTATAGTTGTCGGAGAGGTTAGATGCTATAATTTCGTGGCAAACTTAATATAACCCGGTTAATGTATAAAAATAGCATACCTTTCAATATTAAGATTTAAAGCCTCCAACGTCTCTAATAAAGCAATTAAATGCTAAATAAAATATTTTGACAGCAATATAGCCGGCCTGTCACAAGTGACAAGTATTTGGTAATAAACAGTTTATAAAAATTGAAGTCAGCTACTTCCATGCGGTTTTTAGTTTGGAATACAGTTCACTAATTTTGTCCTTGTCAAAAATTTAAAGAGGAGTGTATGCAATAATAGGGTAAGCAGTGTTTCTTATATGTATGCTATAAAGTCAAGTACCTCGTCTATCTAGACCTGATGTTATATCCTTGATATTTCTTGTAATTCTAAATGAGTTTCTTCATTTGAAGAATTTTTACAACTATTGCACTTTATCGTGGTTATTTTGTTAAAATTGCGTGTCTAAATCGAATGTGGCGTAGGTTTCAGCTACAACGATGCGTCTATATAAACATACCAGTAGTTGCACACCCATAGCGCTGAACCAACGAACCATATGTACATTTGTCTGTCAATGACTTTTCTTTGGCGTCTTTCGCTCCAATTTCCGCACCTCAAGCGTTCGGTGCATTTGATTGCGGCAGCAAGCAGTTTGGCATTATCGAATTGTAGCAATTTGTTTCGAACGCGCGCAGGCGCATGCTTGCAGGAACTTTTCGGTACGCCAACTACGCTTGCAAACATGTACTACGCACGGTTCACAACCAAGCCACGGCTGTCCGTCCGCACAACCACTATCGACCATGTCATCTGGTTATGGGTACTGCCACGCAAGGCGGGCCACCCCATCCGGAGTCCATTGATCGTCGGTGTCGCGCAAGTGGCAGTCAGGCGTTAGCTACCGGTTGCAGCGCATGGGATGTGCCGTAATTCGGGCACGAAAATAAATACCAAAACCAAGGCAATTGCGTAATCCACAGCCGCGCGGCGCGTTGCTGTTTGAATGCGTTAAGGATGGCGCTATGGCGTCCGTTGCTGTGAGAGCAAG